TGTCCTTTCTGTACCTCGTTTTTTATTACTCATTTTTTCACTTACTTTCTTTAATAGTTGTAATTTATGCAATTTTCAATTTTATTTGGAGAAAGTCTGATAAGCTAATTTTCGGGTCATAAAATTTGCGATTAATAATGCATTGATTTAACGTTTCCCAAGCGTAATGGAAAGAAATGGAAGTGCTACTAATTGCAATGTCTAGTTTTCTGATCTGAGATTTTCCGCTGATGGTAGGGATAATTCATTGGATAATTGATGTAGCCAATCAGTGGTTTCCTTCCTTTGTGAAGGCACAATTCACCACCAGGATACTCTAACGTTGACTGCTTCGGGATGTTATAATTTGCTGAAAGGCAGTTGAAATGGAAGATTTCTTGTAAGCCAAAAGTCCGCTTTTCTAGTTTTTTTATGCTGCATCATTGCCGATTCTCGATTTAATGGATCAAGCTCGTAAATATTTCACCTCATATTATTATTGATTTCTTTTTATTGGTCAATCAATTTTTTTAAACTTACCAAAGAATGTGTTATCTTTTACGAGTTTTTTACTCATGGAACCATTTTTCAAATTATGTTTCCAAAGAGTTAATTTCAAACTTATATGACGACCGTCTTTCTGATCTCGTCAAAACAGCAGATCTCATCATGCAGTTGCAGTTGTAATGCCTATAAAATTTCATAGTTACATATGCCATAGCACTTCAGACCAGCTCCTTCTATGCTCCTACTGTTAGTTACACCTAAACCATGCCTGAAACAGTATTTTGATGGCACTTCTTGACACCATCAATATTTAAGTAATCCTTTATTTGCTGTTCAATGCCTTATATTTCCAACATACCTTCTTATCTAGCTTTCCGATCAATTTGCACGCTTTTCTTATCAAAATATAAAACAGTCCCATTATTACTTTTTCAAAGTGGAAGTTGGCAGCGATGCTTTCCCAAACTGTTATCAGAGAGTCCATGGACTGCAGACCTTAACAGATGTAGTATGGGTTCGCAAGTTTAATATCATGAATCATCGAATTAGTCAAACAATATCAAAATAAAAAAGATTGTGGTACGAGCAAAAACAGATTCCGAAAATAGAAATGCGCTTTTTAGGGAGATTTATTGAAGCAGTTCTAATCTCTTGAAGACTGCATTTGTTCCTCATCATTTTTCTTTTTTGGATGCTTTACTTTAACAAGAGCTCTCCTTCCTTCGCGTGTATATTTGCATATATATATATATATTCACTGCAAGTTTAAAAGTATTCGAGTTTTAATTATCACTGATTATTAAGTTTACAGCCATATCAAAGAGTATTTTCACCTCCTTGATAGACAATGTTCTGGTGCACGTTACTTCATTTGTGGATTAGTTTCCAATCTGCAGTTACTTTTGTATTCTACTGTCCGAATGCAAATCATGATACCTGAATTGAGTGGTGTAAACTATATTACGCCAGTCATAACCAATGTAGTTCTGTTTAGAAAAGAATGGACGAAGTATTTTTTTCATGAGATAGACATGTAATTTATGAAGTGTTAAATCACATAGTTTCTGTCAATCGTGCAAGTTACATAATAAGCTCAAACTTGATTAGTGGTATTTGCAGGTAATCTAACGAGAATATACACGGTTGTATCCAATTCGCCGAGAGAACCGTAGGAAATTATATGGTTGCTCACCTGTTCAATAAACGTTGCTGCATAAATCTAGTTTGTAGATGAATCTGCTTCTGGATCAAGTACAGGTGAATTTGTATGGTTCGTAGTGCTTCTTTTAGTAATAAACGTAGTTAATTCGACACATTTAATTGGAAAATGTGTTGATTCAGATTAATCTTTGGAAACCGTGCTTTGATTCAAATCAATTTCTGCTTGAACTTTCATAATGAAAATATCCATAATGAAAAAATAAAAAAAAAAAAAATAAATAGTTTTATTCTTATAAAAATAGAGATATATTTTGT